ACCCACAAGACACCCTTGTTCCCTGAGCCACATGATCTAGGTCACAAGAAATATTTCAGAGAGGAGCCTGACCCTCTGGGCAACAGAAATCTCTAGCTGGCTGAGTAGATAAAGAACCAGCAAGGACAGGTGCTGCTGCACAGATTGGAGAAAACCAATGATGCTACTGGATGCTTTCCCAGAGTTCAGTGTGGACATTGTTATATACTGTGACACACACACACACACACACACACACACACACACACACACACACACACACACACACACACACACACACACACACAGCTACACTTTAGAATTGTATGATTTTTGTCTTAATGGCCTTGTATCATATTTGCTCAGACTACTAGTAAAAAGATGCTTTGTTTCCCCCCAAAACCACCCAGCCTTCTGACTTGAGGTTTGAAGGTCATGCCTCATGTTTGTGCAAAAGCATCGCTAATACAGTTTCTGAAAGCCAAAATTTACTCTCACTCACCTTCAGGCAGTCATTGTACTTCGCAGTACAAATCCTTCTGTCATTTCTGCTGGTATATATCTGGAATAAATCTTGATAATGGAGATGGAGGTTGCTTGCTGGAGTGAGAAGAGGGAAGGTTTTAGCAGTGGATGAGCACATTAAGTACACGTGTAGCCATATTTCCTTGTGAAACTTTTAATTCGCTGGTGGTTACTATTATTTGGGAATTACCTTTTGTTACTAAGCAGGACTCTAGGGGGAAGAGAGTCATTTTCTTTTGAAAATATGTGTTTGTTGGGTCCGCGTGTGGTCAAATCCTTGTTTTTTAAATCAGATTTTGAACTTCCATTGTTTCGCCCATCTGATGGTCATGCAAGAAAGTACCCTAGTGGGGTTAGCAGTAAGTCATGTTTAATTAAATAGGTTCTGGGGCTCTGTAATGCAGATTTTGCTGGGGTGGGGACAGAGGTGAGAACTGCAAACCATCTTTGCTGAGGTCGGCTGTTGGAACATTCAAAATGGGCAAGGTTGGCTTTAGGGGAAAAGTTGGTATTTTGGGCAACCTCCACCAGCAAAGGCATGATAAGCATTTGCACCTCTTCTCTCTCAATGAAACTCCATACCTCTTCTGGGTCCTCTCTTTTTCACCAACATCAATTGCTTCTACAACCATTAGCTTAGTAATGCCAATTTTGAGTGTTGACGAAAATCATAATTAGGGGCAAAAATATTGTGATATTTAAAACTAAAACTAAAAATAAGCTCTCTTTTATTGATCTGAGTCTCCAATTTGGAGTCCCATTTTTCCTTTAAGTTTTTATGTAAGATATGATTTTTTTCCCTCAAAGCCAAGATTTTCAGTTCCAACATCTGAGTCTTTAAGAAAAATAGTAAATATGACAAGACATGATAAAATCATAAGTTGCATGCATCTAAATTTGTATCTGATCTTGAATCTGGTTCTTACTTTGTGCTTAAACTGTTATTTCTCTCTTTTCTACTTGCTTTTACAGTTAATTTTGACCATTTTCAAATACTTCGGGCTATTGGGAAAGGGAGTTTTGGAAAGGTAAGAATCACCTTATTTTGTACTGTTAAATCTTAACAGCAGATTTTTTTGTATAAATATATTATGCTGAGTCAATCTGATTAGACTCGTATAGAGATAAGTAAATTTGCAGTATCCCTGCTTTTTAAAGAATTTAGATTACAATCATGTTACTTGTAACTGGCTGTACATTAAATGTAATTACTCTAACTACAGTGCTTTCATTTAAGTTAATTGCATAAATTGTATTATTATAATTAAATCTCCTCAATAGGACTTAACAGGAGTAAAAATAAAAAGATCAGCCCCCAAATATCAGCCCTTCCCCCTCACCAAATGAAAAAAATGTGGAAGCAGACTGCTCAGTTAGGTTGGTTAGATAGGGATTATCTTGTTTTGAAATCTCCTGGTTTGTTTATCCATTTTTATTACTGAACTATTCTAAAGTTATTTTTACATAGAGTCCAATACACTGAGGTTCAACAAGCCAAAATATACCACAGTTAGGATGACTGAATAAATGCTTGTTCAAATCAATGAACATACATTGAAATGGGGAAGATTAATGACCCATTTATACACCAGTGAGTGGCCTTTATTTGTTATAACGAAGTCTGCAATAATCAACATTTTAATTTTAATATAGGTAGATGTAAAGCTGCACACTTAGCTGGAATCATATTAAGTACATGTTCGAGACCACTACTTCAGATCGCACGTAACTTGAATTGGAGACCAAGTAATGAGGATAATTGAGGCCTGGATTCAGAGAGTTGCTTAAGTTCCTGCCCTTTGTGTCCAATGGAGTTACTGTTGAATTTATGGTCAAACACATGAGTAGTAAACATTTGTAGAATTGGGTCCTTAACCTTGAATACATTATGTCCAGAAGGAGCCTGAAATATTTTACAGTTGATTCTCAAATCACTGGCCCCATGCTCTTGTCCTTATCTAGACCAGTAGTGTTCAACCTTTTTGCCCCATGGGCCAGGTTCCATCCGTGGGCTGGATGTGGCTGATGGACCCAAATTGGTGTGTGGGACAGGAGGGGAGTGGGGGGTTCAGTCAGGCCTGGCCACGCAGAGGTGAGATCCAGCATCCATGGCCTGGCCCTTATCAGATGGAGAAGGGGGTGTGGGTTAGCCCCAATCCAGCAGCATGGGGCTTGAGAACTTGGCAGTGGGGGAGGGGTGGCAGTGTTAATTGCCACTGCTCCCCCACTACCACACTTCCCAGCCCATGTGGAGCCCCATGGGCCACATACCATGGCTCCACAGGCTGTATTTGGCTCTGGGGCTGGAGGTTGAGCATTCTTGATCTTGTTTGCCCGTGTGTAAGTATAGGAAAGAGCATTCTGTGCATAAGTAAAACCAAGATCACAGATTACTGAGGTTCAGGCAACTTTGGCACAGTGACTGTTTAGTGTCACGCAACACTGTGAGAATGGCAGATCAACAAACCCCATTGTTGATTCCATTCTCTAGAGTGTGGGTTTGAGTCAGGAATAATATTCAGAGGCATGCCCAAATTATCCAAACCACTGGAAACATTCCTACATTTCCCCCTTTTACCTCAAAGTTTCTTCTACCTCAAGAGCAGGCAAAATGCAGCCTGGGGGCCAGATGCAGCCTGCCAGGTCATTCTATCTGGCCTGCGGGGCCCCTAAAAAATTTAGAAAATTAATATTTATCTGTCCTGGGCTGCCTATCATGTGGCCTGCAATGGTTTGCTAAAACTCAGTAAGTGGCCCTCTGCCCAATATAATTGCCCTCCCCTGTTCTACTTCATCCTGGATATCACTGACTTCCCAAAGTATACCTGTCTCTTCCCATCACCTGTAGCCAGCAAAGGGAGAAGGATAAAGACAGCATTATGACTTTTTCAGAGGCTAAGTTGTTGGGTGAAATAAAAAAGAAAACCTTGTTTATTGGACTCTCTTCAGCAGACTCTTGGTAATGAGAATTTGCTTTGGGTTCAGCTGGCTGCAGTACTCTGAATTTTTTATCATTTGAATTTACTGTCACAATTCCCTAGAACATATACTGAGTAATATAAAAAATTATACACACATTTGCTCCCTTTTAACATGAAAATTTAATATTGTCAGTTGTCCATATAACACACTAGTCTTCAACACAAGTTGGAACACAACTTGCAGATAATATCTTGTTTCTTTCGAAAAGTGAAAGATGAAAACCCAGAAGAAGTTGGCCTATCTCGCACAAGGCCAGCAGGACATATTGGAAATAGCTTCAAAAAAGTCTTTTCTCAGGTAGTCACTCTTCTGCCATCTAGGTATGAACTATCCTGCTGGCAATTTAACCTACCAGTCGTCTTCTAGAACATCTTGTTGGTAGAAAGCACCAGCAAACAATGCAATCATCTAATCCCTGTGAACAATGGTGCTTCCATAGCTTGGTAAACTGTGCTTTTACCCAATGAATGTCTGTATTTCATGTTGTGCCTTTGGAGCACTGTACTTGTGTAAAGTTCAGCACTTTTTCTTGAACTGTTTTTTCTTTTTTATTACGACTGACATAGAATTCTTTTAAGACACCCTGGCTCTCTCTCATTTCATTTTTCTCATTTAGTTTTTTTAATTAAGGTAGTTGCTACAGCAACCTTCAGCCTCTGCAGGGTTTTGCCACACAAGGTAGCTCATATAGCAGCCAGGCAGAGACTCAACACAACTCAACTACTTTTGTACATGGAGCTCCTTGGCAGTCCCTCTCTTCCACTGGACCTAACTCTTTTAGCAACTCCCCCACCCACATCCCAGTAGAAGCCTTAAGGAAACATTTTTTCATCATTTTTAATTTTTTTTTTTTGGCATCCTGTGTTGTTATTGCCATTGTTTGGGGTTTGTTTGTTGCCAGTTAATTTTCAATATTTAGATTAATAGTGTTTATATGAGAATTCATAGACTATCTAGCCCCTTGCCTTGCTAACATGGTCACCAGATCTTCAAATGAATCTCTCTCAACATGCCCCATTCTCTTTGAGGTGCAATATTTTATTAAGTTAAACCAGGCAGATTAATTCTTGTAACTAAAGTAGTATTTTCTATTAAGGGAAAGTGAAGATATATTTCATTGTCTGTGAGCAGGGTACAGAAGGGCAATGAAGAAAGGGAAAATAAGAAATAAAATATTTTTTGTAAAGTAAAGAGGATTACTTACCCTTGCATTGGAAATGGGCCCCCTGCCAGCTGAAACTGCACAGTAGTCACAGATAGGCTCAAGTATTGAGTATTCCAAGTTTGGATCCTGATTTGGCCTTCCAGTTCAGTGGGTGTATGGATTTAGAGGAAAAAATCCCTTGGGCTTTTCTCTAACTTGCTCCAGGGCTTTATGTAGCTCACTTTCTGTGCCTCATCTGTACCACAGACACCAATGTTCCTAACCTTTCACCATGTTATTTGAAATATTTGGTTGGTTTAGGGCATTTTATGAATTCAAGTATTGTACTATTTCCAGTAATACTAAAGTTGGTCAGACATTGTTCAAGAGTGGCCTGCAGTACCATATTCCATATTTGTTCTAAGGAAATCTAGAAGAGAATACATTAAAAGAATAAATAGCTAATTACATTCCTAATATTAGAACAGATCATTGTTGTTTTATGCCGTGACAAGTAGATTGCATTCTTGCACATAATCTAGCTAGATTCTTTTTCCTTAATATTTTTGTAAAACAGTATTGTCATCAGACAAATTTCAATTTTTGGAGATCATACAATCAATAAATAAAGTATTGACTAGGAATGAATGCTATAATTTTTATTTAACTTTCATTTAGCTTTACTGGAGAAGTAACCCTGTAATTTTAGGCTCACTGTAGCAGGATAATTTGTATTCAGCTGTAGCATCTAGTTTCCAGGGATATTATTGTACCAATCTTTTTCAAGTTCTCTGTTCATCTTGGCAGGTATATTGAACAACCTGACCTTCTTAAATTATATTTGAATTATAATTTGAATGTATTAACACTTCCTCCTATGAGTCTTCTAAGATGCAGGGACAGGATTTGGTCTTGATTCTCATTTGGCAGTATACATTTGATAGTAGCTCAGATGTAAGCAGATACAATGACGTCAAAGTCAAGCCCATAGAGCTTATTTAGAGCTTATTTTACTGAACAATGTCCAAAATATTCTGGAGCAATCTGCAGATTTCCCAAAGGAATGCATTGCACTATCATGGAACAGGAATGCTCCTTGACATCATTACCACGCATATTTGATCTTGAATTAATATAAAAGGATACTAAGCCAGATACTTGCTGTTCATATCCTAAAGGGGCAGCTGGGGATTTCCCCATGTCAGGCACAATTTCCTAGTGCCGTGTAGCCACAGCTATGACACCTGTTTCCCAGCTTCTGTGAAACTTCCTCAGGTCTCTGACTATGGAAATGAACCATAGACACTGGTGTCTAGGAGCATGGAGTATGACTGCATTGATCAGGCACAGTCTTGATTATACAGGCAGTCCTCAACTTACAATGTTTTGAGTTACAGCATTTATAAATTGACACCCTGTTTCAACTTTATAACATCAGTTTCGACTTTATAATTCTTGATCCGATGCAACGCCACACCAGTGAACAAGTTGGCTGCGTCACTCATTTGCCTGGAGAACATCTGTCCAAACTTCTGGAGTCTTGTCTATCTTTAAGAAAGATAGACAAGACTCCAGAAAAACCTGCAGCCAAGACTCCTGA